CTGTCAACGCTCCTGTTTAAAAGTGTACCCTAAATAAAAGCACGTATGAACTCACCGTTTTGGGAGTCTGTTATCGCTGGTGGAGAGGAGAGCAGTTGTTCTCAATGGTCCGGGGTACGACCACGCGGGTACGGCCTCGTCTGCGGGCTCGTCTCGTCTAACAGTAGAAGCGTTACTAGTTGAATACGTTCAGGGGTCCAGTTGTAAGTATCGTTGATACGGCAAATGAGTCAAATAAGTCAAATAGTTTGTCAGTTGGTACAACGAAAGTTTAGTACGTCCTCGCGGGTAGCTGGCGACCGACTGAATGAATGTATGGTGCCTCGTGCACGGACCACCCACTGCACCCAGAGGTGGTCAGCCAGACAGATAGCTTTGTTGCTATGGCAACTGTCGCGACGGACTTACTGGGAAATAGTCTCCCTTCCGGTTTACAGCAAAAACCCTATTTTGCAGGGCAAATAAAAGGCCTTTAGCTTCCAAACTCACGGAATGACAGAAAAGCATGTGCCATCCTACATGTCCTACAGTTTTGGAAAAAGGTGATATGTAAATATTAAAAAAAAGAGAGAATAGCTAGTCTTCTGCACGATTATCTTATGAAAGAATATTTTATGCAAAGTCATCTTAGTTTGCTTGTGAGAGAGGTATAACTATATTTTATTTCATTTACTGTATCATAATGTTGTGTAGCGTGTTCATTTTTTTTCTCTACAACTATGCCCTGAACATCTGCTTGGAGACTTCGCACACAGTAAAATCCGACCAATACAATTTCCAAGTAGATACAGGGACCTAATGTTTGTTTTACTAATTTTCAGTAAGTCTGTAAGCATTCACTCGAATATCAAACAATGGAACAGATACAGAGAAAGGGACAACCCCAACTATACCCACGAACATCTGCTTGGAGACCTCGTAAACAGTAAGATCCGACCGACACAATCTCCAAGCAGATACAGGGACCGAATGTTTCTAGTAATTCTGTGTAAAAAATCATCTGAAGACCAAACAATGGAGCAGTTACAGAGAAAGGGACAACCCCAACAATACCTCCCCCCGAACATCTGCTTGGAGACCTCGTAAACAGTAAGATCCGACCGACACAATCTCCAAGCAGATACATGGAACAGATTTTCTAGTAATTCTGTGTAAAAAATCATCTGAAGATCAAACAAAGGAACAGATACAGAGAAAGGGACAACCCCAACAATACCTCCCCCCAAACATCTGCTTGGAGACCTCGTAAACAGTAAGATCCGACCGACACAATCTCCAAGCAGATACAGGGACCGAATGTTTCTAGTAATTCTGTGTAAAAAATCATCTGAAGATCAAACAATGGAACAGATACAAAGAAAGGGACAACCCCAACTATACCCTCCCCCCGAACATCTGCTTGGAGACCTCGTAAACAGTAAGATCCGACCGACACAATCTCCAAGCAGATACATGGAACGGATTTTCTAGTAATTCTTTGTAAAAAAATCATCTGAAGATCAAACAATGGGGCCATATTATATTCCAACGTTATCTCAACGGGCGCGACCTACTCATAGTAATTGTTATCCTTTACCCAGACTAACCAGAGTATCTACTAGGGGATGTGTATATGACGATATTTATGTTACCGACAGTTTAGAAATTATTTGTGTCTGTGGCGTTCCGAGCGGAGCATTGACTGTGTTGTACCGAAGTAGGCCGTGCAAAGTGACGGTCTCCGCTCTCGGCCACGATCGTATCATAGTTTGTATACCTATATTTTCGTCATGTATCCAGGGAAAACACCAATAATTCGTTTATTCAGTGACCCATAGCGTAAATACTGCAATGTGCATTGAAATGTTATCCGGGAAACCTCTCAGTAAGTGTCGCCAGAGGACACGGGCACTGAGACGGCGATGCCGGTTACTACACGGTGTCCAGACCCGACATTCACCGTACGGGTCAGGGTATCGCTTGTCGGTGCAAGGATGCTGCCCGTAAATTATACACTATTATACAATGCCATACTTGTTGCTCTGAATGTGTGGGGGGCAATGGGCCTTAGATATTGAAGTATTACGCAGCGGAGCTCTCCGCGATGTGAACACCACGAAGGTTTACGTCAGACTGAGCTCCGGTTGTTTACGTTACGCCTTTTACCGGGCCAGATCACCGTTAGTTATATAGTGCAATCTAACACAATAAACAGAAGAGACATTTCTTGCATATATATATGATATGCAACCTTTTATTCTGTTGCCTCACAAATCATAGTATCAACACGTGCGAGGCATGATGTAGGATAGAGATTGTCTCAAATATATTAACATGTGTCTCATGTCAACAATCCGGCCAAAACACGCCTAACTGCGTGAAAGAAACCAAGACCACGTGCGTGTGCGAACGAAAAGGGGAAACCAGCCAATCGGGCACAAATTGTGTCGGAATGAGAAAGGAAAGGGGTTCACAAGGGACAAGCGAACACGTTTCAAATGTGCTTTAGCTGGCGGTCTAAAGCCCCGCGGACACTCTTGTAATACTGGAGGTTTCCCAGATCGGACAAGTGTAGGCCGGCAGGCGCAAAGTAGTTTGGGTTGCGTCTCCACAGACGTCTGTGGTCCCATGCTGTGACCTTGGGGTAGCTCTGCACAAGTCCCTTCAGCGCCTCCGTGAATTTGTGAAGGCGCTGAGGAAAGTCAGACATGTTAGGTGGAATATGGAGACGCCAGATATCTGGGGAACCTTGGAGGAGCGCCCGGTCTGCTTTCTGGTGGAGACCCACTCAGTGTACACGTAGCGTGTCTATCATATATGGCAATACCTATTAAAAATTTCATGCTTATTTGGTAATACTTGCGTTAGATACCATTCTTTCCTAATAACTATACCTTACTCACGTACTTCCTAAATAATCAAACATAAATCCATACGAATGTGAGTTACAGCTCAGGGTACACATTTCATTCGTTGATGCATGCATCATATTAGCACCCTCAAAAACAAACAATATAACTTCCTACATACAATACGGTGTTAAAAGCACACACATTTTAACATACTAGTAGTACTAAAACAAACAACAATCCGTTATAAGAAAAATTCCTTTTACGCAAGCTATATCAAAAGGGTTACAAATTTATACTATTATATTATTAAAATACGTCGCCGGTGTGTTTTTTAAACACCGCCCTTGTTAAAGATGGCGCATATATTTGCATCCCTCCAATCTTTAGGGATTTCTGCAGTGTTTAGCGAGTGTTGGAGGTCTTTTGGGGGTCTTTGTTCCCTTACGGGCGCAAATGACCTCATGGCCCGGCGGTTATCCGCCTGACGGGAATCTTTCGCCTACATGCGTCGGCTAAGCGCAAAAATTTGCCGCTGCGCTTCCAACTCGCCGAAAT